ATCCAATATTGTCTTTTCCAATATTTTTTTAACTTTAAAAGAAAATATTAGAACATTTAGAGCCCTCGAGAATAGGCTGGTCCCCTCTGTTCCTTTATTTAAGGAAAAAAGGAGAAAAACTACTGCAGTAAATTTTAACTGTCCAGAAAGGAGAAAGCAGACACCTCCCTGCTCCCCTCCCCCACCATTTCTACAATTTCAATGAAACCATTACTTTCCTACACTCGGAGCATCCTGTGTCCCTTTATTCTGCAACTTCTGGATCAGGCCGACAATGGCACAAGGAAGGAGAGGCATCCAGAAAGGTGAGAGCGAGTCCAGACATCCGGAGCTCCCAGCTCTCTCGGAAAGGCTCATGGCCCACTGTGTACTGCCCCTGGTGGCTGCGTGTGCATGTGCGTGTGCGCGTGCGTGTGTGTGTGCGTGTGTGTGTGTGCATGTGTGTGTGCGTGCGTGTGTGTGCGTGTGCGTGCATGTGCATATGCGTGTCTCCACCCAAAATAAGGGGCAAAGAGGTCTCTTTTAAGTTAAACTGTCTTGAACATCTATGAAAATAAACTTGCACACTTTATAATTTATGTATCTATCCATCCACCTATCATCCATTCTTTCACAATATTTAGGAAAGAATTTAGGAGGCATACAACGCAATATATAAAATATAGCAAAGTGGTGCAAAATAATGCTTTTAAATAGCAACTAGAAAGTACATTTCATATGATCATGTGACCTCACACTTACTGAAGGTGCAGCCCTACAGGGAAGGAGTGGAAGGAGCAGGTGTCAACAGCCAACAGACAAAATTGGCTTTGAGAAGAACTGCCTGGTGCGGGAGCAGAAACAAGTGGGAACAGAAGGTGTGCAGAGGCAGGGGTGCCAGGGCTGCCTCAAGATGCTGCAGGGAGGGACAAAGGACCATGGCAATGAGCCTTTCACCAAAAAGCAGACAAAGAAGTTACCTTCCCACTCAAGGCCTCAGCTGCATATAACCTCAGGGTATCAGCCATCCAGGCAAGCAAGTGTGTAAACAGAAAACAGAGAGTCAGGCTCGAAAAGCAGACCAGAAGGGTGAGTTGGGGGGGCCGCTGGGGTGAGCTGATGAGACACAGGCCGGAGCCCACTGTTCCTTCAGGGAACCGTGAGGCCAGAAAATACCAAACAAAGAATAAAGATGCTCCGAGAGCTTGAGACTGATGGTCAGCGGTGAGCTGATGAGACACAGGCCGGAGCCCACTGTTCCTTCAGGGAACCATGAGGCCAGAAAATACCAAACAAAGAATAAAGATGCTCCGAGAGCTTGAGACTGATGGTCAGGGGTCCCCTCTTCACGGCTCCAGGAGGAGGGCCAGGCAGTCCTCGAGGAGGAGGACAGCATCCTCACTGGCCATTTCAGGGAGGCCATGGCAAGAAAAGGGCCAAGGGTTGAGCCAAGAGCTTAAGAAAACCATGGACAAGGGAATTCCTCTCAGAAGCAGAATTGGGGTCCAACTGGGAAACTGCTCCCACCTCCACCTTTCTGAAAGGGAGATTCTGTTACAACAACCCTGGCCAGGTTGAACCACTGCATTTTGGTTGGGGGACCAAATAGTTAAGTCTTTTCAGTTCATCTGTATCTGGACCATGAGGAGCCCCACACACGCCTGATGGGGAGAACCATGCAATGCTGGGAGATGCTGCAGGTCGTGCTGGGCACCGTGATCAGGTGTATCCCTGGGGGAGGGTGAGAGTGTTCTCCATGTGGGATCAAGAGTGAGGCATGTTGGGCCGAGCCCGTGGCGCACTCGGGAGAGTGCGGCGCTGGGAGCGCAGCAGCGCTCCCGCCGTGGGTTCGGATCCTATGTAGGGATGACCAGTGCGCTCACAACACTCACTGGCTGAGCGTGGTGCGGCCGGTCTCAAAAAAAGGACAAAAAAAAAAAAAAGAGGGAGGCATGTTTGGTCACCAGAAGGGAGACTGGTACAGTCGCTGCTTGTTTTCCACCAAACCACTTCCTTCTCCTTCTAGAAACAAAACTAAACTACAGTCCCTAGCCTGCCTTGAAATTAGGCGCAGCCACGTGGATGAGTTCTGGCACTGCCGGCAGGGACAGGGTCTGTGTGGGAATATAATGTATGCCACTTACAAGCCTGGACATAAAACCCTCAAAACTAAACTACAGTCCCTAGCCTGCCTTGAAATTAGGCGCAGCCACGTGGATGAGTTCTGGCACTGCCAGCAGGGACAGGGTCTGTGTGGGAATATAATGTATGCCACTTACAAGCCTGGACATAAAACCCTCCATGCATGCCTCTCTCTCCTCTTTCCCCACCCACTCACTGAATGGAAGGATCTGGAGGGCCTGAGGGAGAAGACAGAAAAGACACAATACAGAAAAGACGTTTGAGTCAGAGCCTGCAGAGAACTGCGTGAGAGAATAATCTGACCACCAACAGCCACACAGGACCAGGTAAGCAAGAAACATGCTATTGTTTTGTTGGGGCGATTTGTTGCACTTAACCTATCCCTAATATAAACTGTTCAACTCTTCTAATTGCAAAAGCAATCAAGCATAAAACATTTAAACGATGCAGAAATAATCAAAGTTTTTCATCCCTGCCTCCTCTTCCTGTTATGCCATTTCTCAGGGATAACCAAGGTAATAGGATATCCTAGGAATATCCTATGTATGCATATGCATAAGAACAAGTCTGGAAGGATAAACTAAGACTTGGAAAGCACTTCAGGAAAATGCAGTTACCAGTGACTGCTAATGGGACCATCGTTTTAATGCCACAGTAAGCACCACAATAAGCCAGTAAACACAAAGCAGTAATCTAAGATGAACTGGAAGCTAGACATTTAATATCTTTTCCTTGATACAGAAGCAGTACATGTAAAAGGTTGAAAATTAGAAAGAACATAAGATGAATTACTCTCTACAACTCAAGGGGCACCATTGTTAAAATCTTGTGCATTTCCTCTGCATTTTTTTCTACCTATATAGGGGTATTTTTATTTTATTTTATTTTATTTTTTGAGACCGGCCGCACCGCACTCAGCCAGTGAGCGCAGCAGCCATCCCTATATAGGATCTGAACCTGCGGCGGGAGCGCTGCTGCTCTCCCATAGCCACACTCTCCCGAGTGCACCACGGGCTCGGCCCTAGGGGTATTTTTAGAAAGAGAAAATTACTCCTTTCTGATTAGAAAGATCAAAATCTTTCTCTTTCAGTAGTTAAGCAAGCCAAAAACATGCAATTTTATCCTCCAATTAGGAAAATGTAATATGGTGGACAGCATGTTGAGCTCCCATAGTAAAATGGCAAATGGCATTATAAACAAAATATCCTTGATGGTTACTACACAGCAAAAGAAAAGGCAAAATTCTCCGCATTAGCCTAGAAAGGAGAGCGGCTCTCATTCTATCTGCTGTGAGGACAGACTTAGTATAAATTGAGTGATAGCCAATAACAGGTATGGGAATTGCACGAAATTGTATCTGGGCATTTCTACAGCTTTAAGTCATTGTCTAACTTATTAAAATCTAATAGTATTCCTTATATTTAGCTTCTTTAATTTTTTAAAAAATTTCTCTTAGCCGGCTGATAAAAACCTAACTTCATAGACTGGCAGTTCTCGCCATGATTTCACACCTTTGCACCACCGTGACTGGTTAGGTAATGCGATGGTCTGAAAGGCCGTGTCAGCCAAACTCATATGGTGAAATCCTCCTCCCAGGGAGATGGTATCAGGAGGTGGCGCCTTGGGACGTGATCAGATCATGAGGGTGGATCCTCAAGAATGGGATTAGTGTCCTTACAGAAGAGGCCCCAGAGAGCTCCTTGCCCTTTCCACCAAATGAGGATATAGGGAGAAGATGGGTCCATCTATGAACCAGGAAGTGGCCCTCACCAGACACAAAATCTGCCTTGATTTTGACTTCCAGCATCCAGCAATGTGAGAAATAAATTTCTGTTGTTTATAAGCCTCCCTGTCTACCGTATGTTGTTATAGAGATCCGAATGGACTCAGGTAAGTAAGCAAAAATCATTTACTATTGATAAGTTATGGTGCTGGAGTTTTAAAATTGTTCCCTTTTGTCACAATTTAAAATAAATCCAAGAGGGTCCCTATGTTGTACACACTCTCTTGTCTTCCAACCTGATATACTTCCCCAGGGATTTAAAATGGGCAGTTATTGCTTGGAACTGTCCACCCATCAGCCAGGTTCAATGGGGACACTTCTTGCAGGAGAAAATGTCGAGCTCCACCAGTACCACTCCATCATTAATTCAAACACCAGTGATTACTACCCACCTGGATGCAGCTTTTCCCAAATTCTGTAAAATCAACCCAAAGAAAATAATCAACCTTATGACAGTCATGCCACAAAACCATAAGTGACTGCAAATGCAACCATCAAATGTTGCAATATAAGCCTTCTTTTAACCCAGTACATGCTGAGCCCTGCTGCTGGACTCCTGCGACATCCTGGCCGAGGACAAAGTTTCCTAGCAGGTGGCAGCGTTGTGCTTCCACAGAAAGGGGCTGGAGGGAGACACATGCTTTCAGATGCTCTCTCTGCCAGATTCCAGAAAGTGATGATTCCGCAGGGTTTGGAATCGACGCAATTAAAAGCGTGACCCTAAATAACACAAAACCCTTCTCACTGGGACCTATTTCCAGTAGCCCCAGGCATCCCTAGCTCCCGAGTCTACAGACGACTCCACTGAGAAGTCTCCTTAAGCTCATGCACAAAGCACCATGCTTGAAGAGCAACGTGAACAGGTAACCGGTAGAAGACAGCCGACGCCTGTCACCTGCGGTCCCGCCAGCTCACCAAGCCGAGCACCCGACGGCATCCGGCCGGGCACCGCCCCGCCTCCCGGCCAGCCCGGCGCGTCGCTATGGTGACGAGCACGCCGCGCCCGAGCGCCCCACCTCTTTGCCAGTCTCGCGAGAACTGGGCGCACCTCGCTTCCGGGGACCGCCCCCTGCGTCTCACCTCCCTTCCGGGCGGCGGCCCCACTTCCGCCTCGTGCGGCCAGGCCCTGGCCGAGGTCCGGACGCTGCAGGCGCGGCGCCCTGCGGGGAGCGCGGTGAGTCGGGG